ATCGCAGCATTAACATTCGCATATCATAGCATAGCATATCATATCATATCATAATATATCATAGCATAGCATAGCGCAGCATATCATAGCATAGCATAGCATAGCATGGCATATCATAGCATATCATATCACATCATAGCGCAGTATAACATAGCATATCATATCATAGCTTAGCTTAGCGTAGCACAGCGCAGCACATCATAGCATATCATAGCATATCATAGCATAACATAGCATACCATAACATATCATACTATAACATAGCATAGCGCAGCATAGCATAGCATAGCATAGCGCAGCATAGCATATTCTAGCATAGCATAGCGCAGCATAGCACAGCATAGCTACAACTGCGACGATGAGGAGCAGGAGGAAGACGGCGTTTACCGTTACTGCTAATATTGCTCTCCTCGGTGCTCCAACTCCTAGGTAGGGTCGCTCTGGGATAATTTGTTTTTTTCCTCCAGATTCTCCCCCCCCCAACACGTCGAAGGGCCTCGCCCCTCGATCCCGGAACCTCGACCTCCCCGCCCTCGAAGGCCCGTGGTGCCACGCCCCCGACATCGTCCCCGTGGACCCCCCGTAGACCTCGTGAATTAAGAAGCTCGAGGAGTGCCGCCGTGGCGATGACCACGCCTGCGGTGGGTTCCAGCCGTGCCGACCCGAAGCTCCCCGGAGTTACAGCATCCGGCCCACACGCGCAGAAGCCAGCATCCTCGGTCTCGGATCCTCGATCCTGTTCCCCCCCCCGAGTCCAGCGGTCGAGGGAGGAAACACACCCCGCCACCAAGAGCTGTCGCTTACCAAGCAGCCCTGGGCGCTTACGAATCACGCGGACCCTACCTTTTCGGCTCCTTCCCTCGGTGCGTTTGCTGACGTCCTCAGCCTTCACAACATATCCCCTTCCCCCAAGATTGGCATCGCCTCATCTCGATGCCGACCTTCAGGATTCCCTCGGTTTCTGAGGGCGCATCCCTAATATTGTCATCACCTTCGTCCTTGCCAATCTCAGGAGTAGGTATTCAGCTCGAGTAGAAAAGGCTTCGCTGTTAAGGGTGCTCATCATGAGGGTGGGCTGTCATCCCTCTTATCTAATGGCCCTCGGCCCATACGTACCGCCAGCGTGTCTGGGTTGTGGGTCTAAAGCCTGCTGGATGTTCGCTGGGATCTCGTGGGAGGCCTGCGTCTTGGAGGCCGTTTTGGGGCCTCTTGGGGCCACTTTTGGACTTCAGGGCCTTATTGGCCCTCTTGGGGGCGAGGCCTCGTGGATGTTCGTTGGGACATCGTGGGGGGCCTCCAGGGGGACTCTTGGAGGCAGATGCGTCGCAAGCAATGTCGACTCCCATGCTTTGAGGCCAACTAGCGGTGCGGCGTCAGGCGAATCTCTCGTGAAGCGCTCCGGGAATCGCCGGTTCGGCGCGCATGGTTTGAGGCCAATTCGCGGAGCGGCGCTCCGATCATCCGACGCGAAGCACTCCCATAATCGCATGCTTTGAGGCGGATTCGCCGAGCGGCGCTCCGCTAGTCCGAATCGGAGCACTCCAGGAATCGGCGACCTTGTTTGGAGGTCAATTAATTGAGCGGCGCTCCGCTAATCCGACGCTGAGCATTCTGCGAATCGCATGCTTTGAGGCCACTTAGCAGAGCTGCGCTCCGCAAGTCCGACGCGATGCATCCCAGGAATCGGCGCGCATGCTTCGAGGCCAATTAGTGAAGCGGCGCTCCGCTAATCCGACGCGGAACACTCCGGGAGTCGGCGTGCACGCTTTGAGGCCAATTCGCGGAGCGGCGCTCCGCCAATCGGGCGCGATTTACTGTGGAAATCGGGGTCGGGGTCCTTTGTGTCAGGCAAAGGACCTCAGAGCACTCCACTTCGTGCCACAATCAGGCGATCGCAAACATGGATTAAGGGGGGCGTGTATTAGCGACGGGTTCGTTTCCATGGGAAATCGCGGATTTCCGCCGCCGAGCGAGGCGGCACCCGCCGCATTTTGGGGAGGGCACCTCCCCCGATCCATGGATTTGGCGACCGCGCGCCATATCCATGGATCGCTAATCCATGCTTGCGCGCCGCCGAAAATAGCCCCCTGCCAACTCTCAGGAGGCCTCCTTCCCCCTCGCTTGCAGTCGGGCGTGTCCCTCTACAGGAGGAATGTTCAACACCAGGTAAAGCATAGCCCGGGGACGATCTTTTGACCATTTTGAGTATGTGTTGAATCTGTTTTTGGGCACGTTGGCGGATGTCAGCCGCGCCCCGCCGCGGGTGCCGCCGCGGTATCGGCTTCCTCCCCGCGGGCGCCCGCGGGTGAGGTCAGCTCAGAGGGGTTCGGAGGGCCGCGCCGCCTCGCCGAGGCGTTGGCGCTGCGGCTCGACGTGGATCCCGATCGCCTCCACGCCGCCGTTGCCGCTGCAGCGCCGACGCATCGCCGCTGCCTCGAAGATGCGACGCAGCCCTCCGAGGGAGGCCGCCAGAGTCGGGGGCACCGGCACACGCAAGCGTTTTTTTTTTTTTTTTCCATGAGCGTATGTGGGGCACTGCGGGACACACTGAGGGGTGAAGAGGAGCCTCGGGGCCACGCGCAAGAGAGCGTCGGACGTCGTGGACTCGGCGTCGACTTCTCTGCGTCTCCCTGGGCCCCTTCCTGGCGCAGCGCCCCGCCGCGGGGCCGCCGCGGCAGCGGGCATCGGCGACCCCCCACCCGCTGCCGGGCGCGCCCCCCGCAGAGGCAGCTACGACGAGCGCGTGCGCGTCTTCGACCTGCGGTCGCTCGCGGGGGCGCCGCTGTGCGAGAGCGCGCGGCGCGCCCGCGGCCGCCGCCCCCGCGGGGGGGGATCCGTGGACTGCACGCATGGAGTGACTTGGCATCGCTCGGACGTGTGCATTTTTTTCTCGGCGAGGGCCATCGAGGAGCATCCTTGATCATTTAGCGAAAAAGCCACGCACGGAACCGACAAAAAACACAGGGAATGGACGTCCGAGCGACGGCAAGGTGACCCGTCGCCGGAGCGACCTGTGGTGCGGGCACTCTGGGCGCGAATCGGTGTCGAAGAAGAAAGAAGAACGCCAGAAGCATAGAAACTTTCGGCGCTCCGCGCGGGTCTCTTGGATCGGCGCCTGGGAGCGCGCGCTCCGCGCGCCAGGGAGTTCGGCGTTCCGCGCGTCTCTGGCGCGGCCCCTGGCGCGCTCCGCGCGCCAGGGAGATGTCGGCGCGGATCCAAGAAATCCACGCGGAGCGCCGAAAGTTTATGTTTATGGCGCTTTTTCTTTTATTGTGGCCGCGAGTGAATGAGGGGCGATAGCTGGGGGGAAGACAGGTGCCCTCTTCGGGCCCTCAAGGCTCCCTTCTGGGTCCCAGGGAGCCCTTGTAGGCTCCCTGCAGGGCCCCGTTCCTGTGGCCCTCGCTGCCCTCCCATGAACAGTGCCTTTTTTTAATACATGCTCCGCGTGCAGGGATTTAGTTTAACAAAAACAACGGGGAGATCATGCATACGTTTATTCATAGGTTAGTCAAGTATCACACATCCTATATTTTTGAAAATCCCATGTATTAAAAACTGCCCTGTATTCCCCCCCGTCAGCTGCGGCCCAGGGGACGCTGGGGTCCCCAGGTGCCCGAGCGCGATGCGCCAGCAGCGGCCTGCGCGCTCCGCTTCGGCCCCCCCGCGCCCCCCGAAAGTCGCGCACCAAAGGGTCACTCTTGCCCAGGGTCAAGTCGGGCGTGTCCCCCTACAGGGGGGGTTTTCGACGACAAATAAAAAATGCAAAAGTAGCCCCAGACTATCTTTGAACTATTTTTTGATTATGTTGGGGGTATTTTTTTCTTCGTCGAAAATCCCCCTGTAGGGGGACAGGCCCGACTTAAGCCTAGGGTCACTCCTGCGTGCAGCCGACTCTGCTCCTACTCCCCTCCTTCCCCCCCCTCCTGCTCGCTCCGCCCCTCCTGCTCTCCCCCACCTCCCAGGGATCGCTTCCTGCCGAAACCAGGCCTCCTCCGAGCCATGGCCCGAGAGCTTTTTGAGGGCTGAGGTTTGCTGCAGTCGGGGGCAGCGACAGGGGGGGGGGATGGGCACAAGGGGGGGATGCATCGACCCCCCACTCGCCCACTGATCGCCGATGGGGGTCTGATAGCCCCAGCCCGCCCAGGAGGGTGCGGATTCACCATCGGGGGCCTATCGCTGATCTATCAGCGATGCATCGTCGATGCCGGGTCGATGCATCCCCCCTTGTGCCAGGTCCCCCCCCCCTGTCGTTGCCCCCCAATTCGAGGGGGGCGATGCATCGACCCCCAGTCGCCTGCCGAGCGCCGACGGGGGCCCGACGGCCCCGGCTGCCCAGGAGCGCTCGGCTTCGCTGATCGGGAGCCCGTCGCCGATCCATCCGCGATGCATCGCCGATGCCGCGCAGAGGCCCCCCCCCCCCTGAGCCGACTCCCCCCAGACGTTGCCTCTCAGGGAAGGGCGATCGAGGGCCGAGGCCGACGGTCGAGGGTCGAGCCTCGAGGGCCAGAGTGCTCGATGCTCGAGGATCGGAGCTCGAGGGTCGAGGGTCGAGGGGCGCGGGTGGCGGATCGGGGATCGGGGGTCTGGGGTCGAGCACCGCGGCTGGAGGATCGAGGCTCCCGTCGGGTCGGTCGAGGGTCGAGGGGCGCGGGCCGAGGCTCGAGCACCGGGGGTCGAGGCTCGAGGAGCGGGCCTCGCTGATCGCTTGGCATCGCTCGGACGTGTGCATTTTTTCTCGGCGAGGACCATCGAGGACCACCCTGGACCATCGAGCAAAAAAGACACGCACGAAACCGAAAAATGCACGGGAAATGGACGTCCGAGCGACGGCAAGTCCGAGGATCGAGGCCCCGGTCGGGTCGGTCGAAGGGGGGGGTGTTTGGAGGGGGGTTCGCCGAACATGCTGCAGGCGGCCGGTCTCAGCTCCAGGCGCCTGGAGGCGTACGGAGAAGCTAGCCGCATGCAGCCGATTCGCTACCCTTCAGTCGGGGGCGTGTCCCTCTATAGGAGGAGTATTCAAGCACAGTCTAAAAATAGTTGGGGACCGATTTGTTTTGATTATGTTTGGATCATTTTTGAAAATTGTTGGAGTATTTGTTTCCTGGCAACTCCGCCTGCAGGGGGACATGCCCCACCTAAGTTTGGAGGGGGGGGGGCGCCGAACACGCCACACGCGGCTGGTCTCAGCTCCAGGCGCCAGGAGGCGCACGGAGAAGCTGGCCGCATGCAGCCGATTCGCTACCTCCCCCCTTCCGCTATCCGCCCCTCTCGTCCGCCCCGCTCCTCGGGAGGAGGTTCCAGGGTCGAGCCTCATGATGCTCCAGCCTACTTTAGCCTCGACTACCAGAAAGAGTTTCGAGCGCCCCAAAAAGTACCGAAACTCAAGGGTTTTCACGTGTCGGGCCCTGGGAGACACTCGCCCGACAGTGTTTTGACACTGTTCCGACACTCTTTTGACACTTTTCCGGGTGCTCGAAATTATTTCTGGGATGTGGTCCTTCAGTAGGATGGGAACAACAGAAGTCGAGCCCATTCTCCAAGCCAGGTCCGACAGTGGCGACGCCGAAGACGAAAATGGGCTGCATCAGCGGCGGCCCGCCCAGGACGAGAGCCCAGTGGCCTCGTCGACTGGTCTCCGAGCCGCTTGCGCGAAGACGTCGAGGACCACCTGCCTGTCTCGGGCCGGACGACAGGGGGGGGGGGATTGGGAAAGGGGGGGTACGATATCTGCGGCATGCAGCTGGCTTCGGCCCCACCGAGGGGCCCATTCCTCGATGCATGGGCGCCTCCGGCGCCGGGAAAGTCAGCTGCGTGAGCTGACTTTCACCCCCCCCTTTTTGCTATCCCCCCCTTTCGCCCGACCCGATCCGGGCACGCTTCACGCACGCGCAGATGCTCGGCAGCCTGTGGCCGGCCTCGTGCGTAGGTTCCCCCCAGACTGCTGCGTCGAGCTTGCTCCCAGCGGCCCGCTCGAACGGCCGCCCCGGCCACTCGAGCGTGCTGCCATCGTCAGACTCAGACCCGGCGCCGAGGTCGTGGGTGTCAGGCGTGCTGCATCGGGAGGGCGTCCTCCCGCTCAAAGCGCCGTGTGCAGCCCCTGCTCCTGTGCATCCTCCCGGCGCCTTCTCCACGGCGGCCCCTGCGGCCTCCCTCGAAGCCCCGCGGCGAATCAACGGCCTCGTCGGCGTCGAGAGCCTCGGGCCCCGAGCCGATCTGCTCCACTGGCTACTCGGCAAGGGCGTCGTCCCGCTCCATCGCCACTTGCGCCACCTCCTTGGGGCCGTCGTGCTCCTCTGTTGGCTGGTACGTGGCTGCCGAGGTGCCTCCACCCCCGCCAGCACGGCAGCCACCTCGCATTCACTTCCGGTTGTAAGTCTGCCAGCCTCTCCTGCCATCTCTAGGGTACTTGGTCGAAGTGCAGCCGGGCCAAGCAGTACCTCTAGCCTTGGCGAGGAAAATTGATGGATGCGCGCCTCCATGTCATGTCCTGTGGGCAGGGGACTCGCCCTTTCGGCCCCCGGTGTTCGGTGGTCCAGTTGCCGCACCAGGTCCCCAGGCCTGCGAATGCTCAGGCAACTGGGACCTTGATGAGTTCAGCCCGGAGAGCCTCCCCTGGGAAGACAAAATCGGGTGGCAATTCTCCGGGCGAGGCGCACCAATTTTGGGAGCGGGTGGAAAAAGGAGCGAGGCGAGGTAGTCTTGTTGTTCTCGGTCCATCCCGCCACAGTGCGTGGGTTGTGGGTCAGAGTTCTCAGGGATGCTTCTTGGGGTCGCTTCATAGCGCACTGGGGGGCCTCTTGAGGGAAGTTTTGGAGCCTCTTAGGAGCCTCTTGAAGGTCTCTTGGGGGCCTCTTGGGGGCCTCTTGGGGCCTCCTTGGGGCCCTCGGGGCCGAGGGCTCGAAATGTCCTATCGGGTCCCCCATATGGGCCCCCCCTTGTGGCCGTCATTTGGGCCTCTTGGGCCGTCTTGGGCGCCTCTTGGGCTGTCTTGGGGCCCTGTTGGTGCTGTTTTGGGGCCCTCATGGAGGGCCTCTTGGGCCGTCTGAAGGCGATCTTGGGGGCCTCGAGGGCTGCCTGGGAGCGGCGGGAAGCTGCAAAGACGAAAACGCCAAACACTTTGAAGGACAGTCAATGATTTTGCTCTCTTGGGGCCCTCTTGGGAGGCCTCTTGGAGGCCTCTTGGGGTGTCTTGGAGGCCTCTTGGGCCGTCTGGGGGCCATCTTGAGCGTCTTGGAGCGATCGTTCGGCGACACGGGGCCCTCTTGGACTGTCTTCGGGCCTCTTGGGGCCCTCTTGGCCCGTGTTGGGGCCCTCTTAGCTCCGAACAAGTCAAGCGACAAGCCGCGCCAAGCCGCGCCAAGCCTCGGGAGATTTGACAATTCAGGCTCTGAGCCCCTTTCAGGCTCCTCAGGAGTGAGGGCTGAGGCTCAGGGGATTGGGCAGAGGACCTGAGGACACGCCCGTTCCGTGCCCAGCGGCATGGTGGCGGATTGCAGCAACAACCGATGATGCCCTGCATCTCATCCTCACCCTTCGGCAGCTCCTCGAGGCGCGTGCGTGTCACCTTCCACAAGGACAACCGGGCCTGTGAGGGGGCCGCACCGTTGTCCACTGGCGGCGGCGGCACCTTTGTAGCGAAAGCGGTCTCGAGGTCCCACCACCCCTCGAAATGTGCGCTTGGACTCCTCCTTCGCCATCTCCCAACACTCCTTGTGGGAGCAGTCTGGCCAGCCCTCGCTGGAGCTTTGGGACTTGCCATAGGGCCATAGGCCCTGCTGGATGCCAGGGCGGGCGGCGGCGACACCTCATGGCGCCGCGGAGGCGGCGTGGCTGACGCCCAGGTGGTGCTAGAGGTGCCGGACGTGGCATCGCCACCAGGCGGGCACCTCTTCTCTCGGCACGAACGGTATGGGTACGGAAAGAACGGGTACGATGCCCACCAACAGTTCCTGCTCAAAATTCGCCGTCCGCGCCGCCGCGGCCGCCGTCGACTCGAGACAGAAGGCCGCCTGCCAACAGCGGCCGCTGCTGGTTTTGGGCAACATTGGCTGTCGGACATCGTGCCCTTGTTTCCGCATCCACTTCGGGCGCCCGAATTCTCCCCGTCGTTCCCGGAGCTGAAGGGCTCGAGCTCCGAAGCCTGGGAGCCTCGGCTGCCGTCGCCGAGGGGGACCGCGCCGCCTGTCCGCGGACGACCTGCACGCTGCACGCACCGTGCCGCGGTGGCGTCTCCCGCGGCGCCGTGGCTCCTCGTCCTGCAGGAGCGGCAGGGTGCACAGTTGCCGGGCCCCCAGGGGCCGACAGACTCTGCACCGCACTGCGTCTGACTTGGAGCGAGGCCTGACAGGCGCCCGTCCCCGTGGACGGGCTAACGGCGATGTGGGCAACGGCGACGTTCGGTAGTGCGGGAGCGCGTGGCGCGCGCTCTCCTGCGATTCGCTGCGTCGTGTTCGCTCGATCCATGCGCAGACGGGAAGTGCAGGAGCGTGCGGATCGCGGTGTCCTGCCATTTGGCTCCCAGCTTCACCGTCAATCGGGCGAAGAGAACTATGCACATGCACCGATCCTGGCAAGGCCCGTCCTTGACCCAGGATCGGTGCATGTGCCTTCCAGGCCAGGGTAGGAGGGCGTATGCACCGATCCTGGGCTCAGGATGGGCCTGGCCAGAATACGTGTATGTGCATAGTTCTTTTTCCTCTACATCAAGCCTGACCGACTACATGTGGTGTTTATTTGGGCGCCTTCCAAGCCTCGCATCATCTCGCATCATCTCTGGAACGTCGTCCAAGCTTCTCGCATCATCTGCCTCCAAGAGGGAGCGCCGCCGTCAAGTTCATTTCCTCTGCATAGTTCTTTTTCCTCTAGTCAAGCAGCATCGCCGTCAGCCCGGCCTCGGCAAACACGGTGCGGTGCACGACCGCCGCCCTCGCAGGGCTGCCCCGCTCCTGCTGCGCGGGTTCAGCGCCCTCCGCTCCAGCTTCGTCGCCGTCGTCGTCGTCGTCGCCGTCGCCGTCGCCGTCGCCGTCGCCGTCGTCGTCGTCGTCGTCGTCGTCGTCGTCGTGCTCGCGCTCGCTGCGCCGCCCTCTCCGCTCGGGTTGACCCCAAAAGAGGGTCCAGCGACAAGGGGGTGGTGCAGTAGACTTGGTGTAATAGATCTGTGGGGTTGCAACACACTTGGGGCGTGCAAGACATTCCGGGGCGCAGACGTAGTGCTGGAGATTCGCGTGCAATACATCACTTGCAATACAGTGCAATACAATTCTCTGGCGCAGTACATCTGCAATACAATTGTCGGGGGCTCCCAAACGGTGTGGTGACCACACCGTGCGGCGAGTCGGTGGCGATTCCGGGTCACCGCGCGGTTTTGGGACTCGAGTCCCCCTCCGAGGACGTCTCGGGCGACAGGGGCCTCGGGGGTCCCAAGGCCGTGTTGTGACGGACCGTGCGGTGAGGTTTTGGGGGACTTCGAGGTCACCGCACGGCCTGTCACCGCACCGTTTCGGGACTCCAAGACTTGCCCCACATCTATTGCCCCACCCCCGTTTCAGCTGGAGGAGGAGGAGGATCAGGAGGAGGATCAGGAGGAGGAGGAGGAGGAGGAGGGGGAGGAGGAGGAGGAGGAGGAGGAGGAGGAGGAGGAGGAGGAGGAGGGAGGAGGAGGAGGAGGAGGATAGGGGCGGCGGCGGAGGAGGAGGAGGGCGGAGGAGGAGGAGGCGGAGGAGAGGACCCCCTTCTGGGTCACCCCACTCCGCGGGCCCTCCGCCGCGGCCCGCGCAGGGCGGGGGCGAGGGCCCCGGCCCGCCCGGAGCAGACCGCGAAGGTCGGCCCACGGACCGAGACACACCAGGAGCGTCCTCTTGGGGCCTCTTAGGGGCCTCTTGGGGCCTCGTAGGGGCTTCTTAGGGCCGAGGGCTCGAAATGTTGCTTCGTGTTCCCTCTCTGGGGCACCTTTGGGGGCGTTCTTGGGGCCCTCTTGGACCGTCTTGGAGGCTTCTTGGGCCGTCTTCGAGCCCTCTTGGGCCATCTTGGGGCCCTCTTGGGGGCCTCTTGGGCCCTCTTGGGGCGATCTTGGGGGCCTCTTGGGCCGTCTTGGGGCGTCGGGAAGCCGAAAAGGTGGAAGCTCCAAAATCTCTCAAAAACCTAAGGAAAAACAATGAATTTTGCCTCCGGGGGCCCTCTTGGGAGTGCTCTTGGAGGCCTCTTGGGGCGTCTGGGGGCTATCTTGGGCGTCTTGGAGCGATCTTGTGGCATGTCGGACCCCTCGTGTACCATCTTGGGGGCCTCTTGGGGGCCTCTTGGCCTTTCTTGGGGCTCTCGGGGACGTCTCGGAGCCCTGTTGGTGCGCTCATGGAGCGCTCCTGGAGCGCTCTGGGGGACTCCTCCCGGGACTCTCTCAGGACCTTGCCGGGGTACTTTCCGCCCGGGGACCCCCAGGGGCCGCCCCGCGCGCGCGAACTAGAGAATTGTTAACCAGTTACCGGAGATCTTAGCACACCTCTGGCCCGTTGGGCCGGCGAATTTGTGTGTCCCAGGGCCCCTTCACTTGAGCCGGCTTCGGCTCTCCGAGGCCAGCCCGGGAACCTCCGCAGGTCAGCCACGCCGAGACGTAGCGTCAGCGAGGCATGCCATCGGCCCGTGCGAGCGCGCCACTTTCCAGAAATCCCCGCCCTACTGCCCAAGCCGTCCCAGAGGGGCGGGAAGGTCCAGAAGCAGGAGGAGAGAGGAGGAGGAGGAGGAGGAGGAGGAGGAGAAGAAGGAGGAGGAGGAGGAGGAGGAGGAGGAGGAGGAGGAGGAGGAGGGGGAGGAGGAGGAGGAGGAGGAGTAGGAGGAGGGAGGCGGGAGAAGGGAGAAGGGCCCCCCTTCTCTTGGCCGCTCACGCCCCCCTCGTTGCGTTGTCACCTGCGCCCCCTGCCTTTGCTCCTGCCACCCCTTCCACTGGCCGCCCCCCGCCGCGCGTCGCCGAGGCTGGGCGATGGTGCGTACCACCTGGCGTGGCACCCGAGCTGGGAGGCTGCAGAGAGTAGGAGGGGGGGGCACGAGGCTTGGAGCCTGCTGGGGGTCGAGAGGTGGCCCAGCACTGGTTCTGGCCAGCAGAAAGGGGGGGGGGGCAGGTTCGAGGTTCGAGGTTCGGGAAGGTTTTTTGTTTCTTTCGTCCGCCGGGGGGCCGTTCCGGGACCGTCAGCCATAGTTTGAGGGTGAAAGTGGGGGTCGGGCGCATGGTCCCAGCAATGGTGTTTCTATGGGCCATGCATGGGCGATACATCCTCGACTGCTGTGTTCGGCGGGGAACCAGTTGAAGCTCTCCGCCTGCACGCATGCGCGAGACTTGAGGGTAAACGAAGCAATGAGGCGGGGGGGTTAGGAGAGGCGACGCAGGCAACGTGCGCTGGGGGCGCAAAAGGAAAGGTCGGAACAAACGAAAGCGGTGAGGTGAGCGCCAACATCTGCCCAGCCAATCTGACACGTAGGGCAAAATGTGAATACACATTGTGGGGGAAAGCAAAAGGTGAATTCACATTTTTGGGGAAAAGGAGAATGTGAGTTCAAATTTCGAAAAAAGGAATATGTGAATTCACATGTTGGAAGATTGTTTAGGAATCTGTATGAAGGTGCCAGAATGTGAATTCAGATTTTGGGAAAAAGGACATGTGAATTTACATGTTGGAAAACAACATGTTAATTCACATTTTGGAAGAATCGCGGGACCCATTCCAAATTTGTCTTGTGGGGCGACAAGTCATCGTTTGAGAACATACGCGATCATCAATCGCACAATCAAGAAACACTTGCACTCCACTTCGCCGCCCCACGCGCGATATGCAAGAACGCCCGCACGCATGAACGATAGTGGATGGACGGCGCGTTTGCCCGCGCGGGCAACGCGCGTGCACGAACGACTGGCCCTCCATGACCGCCAACATTGGATGCCAATCTTACCGATCACATACATGAGCGATACATCGAGCATGCATGGGCCATTCAGCCCCCATTGGAGGCCCCCTGTTGCAGACCCCTTCTTTCACCCTCCAACACAGATCTGGGGTGAAGTATTACACCAGATGAAGCCCAGGAGGGATGTGGGGACCGATTTTGGATGGATTTGGCCTTAGCCCCTTTCCGATCCTGACCGGTTTTCGCGGGGCCTAGCCAGCCCGGGCCCCCTGGCCGCCTCCAGAGGGGGGACGAGGCGAAGGAGGACAGGGAAGGAGGAGGGGGAAGAGGGGACGAGCTCGGCCATTCGATGCTGTGCTTGATGGGGAGCGGCCCGATGCCTGCGTGGCGCAGTGATGCATCCGGGCGTCTGGGGTCAAGCGGGTGGGAGGGCGGTGGCCCCGCTCCCAGGAGGGGACGCGCCGAGGTGGGCCTCCTCCCTCCCCCCCCCTCCAGGAGGCTGGGGTCCGCGCTCGGGCCGCCCACCGCCACGGGGCGCACCCCCTCTGGCACCTGGGCGCCCGCCCGCCCACTTGGACCCCACGGCGCCCCCCTCTCGCTCGCCCGCC